AAGTCTAGCCAAGCACAAGGCACGCAGGGCTAATGCAGGAGTGGCAATGGGTACCTGAGGTGGCCTTGGGCATTCCCGTGTCCTCTTTTCTCTACCTACACCCTGGAAGTTGTTTTTTCAGCGGAATTGCAGCGGGCAGTTCCCCACGTCCCTAGTTCTTTGCCAGCCTGCAGAGCGGATGGCTTGCTCATCAGGTTGTTGCCGATACCGTAAATCCGGCTGTACTTCTTGTTGGTTTTCTCTCTCTTGGCTACGTCCTGCTTCCCGGGGGGCTTGTGCATTGGGGGTCCTGGCCCCGGGCCCGCAGCCAACCCTGCTCGGAGCTGCCACCCGCGCAGGCTTGCAGGGAGCGTTGCTGTGACAGCCTTCCAGTGTGGCAGCTGTGGCAAGGGAGGGAAAGCGGAGCGCTCCAGGCTCTCTGCAGAGAGGTGGCAAGCAGGGCTGGGGTGTCTAAGGAACACCCGGATGAGCGTGTGTTAGACAAAAGGCACGAGGTGTACGTCCTGGAGCTGCACAGCAGTCGCGTTGGAAGGTGCGTTTGCTGTAAGCACTATTTGCTGTAAGCACTACCAGTTGTGGAGTCTGCAAATGAGATACTTGTCCAGCTGGACCTTTAATTTGATCTGGTGTGGTTGTTTTTATTAATGATTGCAGGCTTAAAGAAGAGCAGGAGTTAATCTGGATAATGTCCGATTTTTCCCTTGTCAGGGGTAGGAAGTGTTGGGGTAGAAGCACGTTCCAGGGTGGAAGTAGGCCTGGGTTCGCCGCTACCTCACTTACTGCAGCGTCTCCTACGGGTGGTTACAGAGCACTGTGAGATCTGTATTTGAGTATATTGATGGTGGCTGTTTTTTTTTTTTTTTCGTTTGTTTGTTTGCTTCTTTCCCAAGGGCAACAGAGCCTTACCTGCCATGTACAAATGGCATATAGCAAGGAGTTGCACTGACATTCTTTAACCACTTGAAATGCTACCTTGCCACGATTTTTCATTTCCAATTAGGAACACAACTGGAATTGCTGTGTGTCACGGTGTGTTTGCTTGGGTGTTTTTTTTTGTTTTTTGAAGCCCACTGGTTCTAATAATGCCAAAACATTTATAGATGTGTAGGTGTCCCTGGAAGAGATGTGTACATCAAGGTAGCTTTTGTTTGTTTGTTTTTAAACTTCTGTTGTGAAGAGTGCTGGTTCATCCTGTGTTTCGGCACTACACAGGCTGTCACTTTACAGTGCAAAGATGTTGGGTGTGTGTTAGGGCAGGTGTTGCATGCAGACTGTGCTTCCTGTGAAGCTCAGAAGTCAGGAGGCAATTTATTATGTATGTCCCAATTCTGTCTTTAGACTGACAGATAATTTAGTCCATCTGCAACTCTCTTAGGCACTGCTGTTAGCTGAGGAGGAATGTGCCGTAGTCCTGAAGTGAGCTGTCAAGTGAGAAACAGGGCTTGTGGGGGTGGTGTTTGTTTGTTCTGGTTTTGTTCACGTTGATTAACAGAAAAGGCAATATTAGTTCCTTTGCTGTTAGTAAGTTACTCTTAGCGTACTGCAAGATCAGAATGGTAACACTGAAAACCAATGTGTAAACCATGCTTCATTAAAATGAACATTGTCTGGTTTGTTGCAAGTAGTGTATTTTGTTTGTAGTACACACATTGTGGGCTGCAGAAAATTCTGCTGTAAAGAGAGAAAACATGCAATGAAAAGGACAGAACAGTCACTTGTTTCAGGGTAACTGAAGAACAGAACCTCAGGGAAGTCTGACGGGAGGGCTACAGTTCTGTTAGAAATGGGGAAAAATTGGGGAACCATTTTTACAGGAGCTGAAGTATGGGGATGGTGTGTTTAATTGTTAGGGATGTGAGGGTACATGCCTCCCAATTGGAACCTTAAGGCTTTTTTACAAAACAGAAAAAAAGCTTCAGTTAGACAGAAAATATATTTGAAGTATAAAATGCTGTAGCTTCCATAGTTCTTTATTAAATACTTAAGTTGCATCATATAACAGCTTCATTTTGTCACACTGAACTTTTGCCGTCAGGAAAACAAACTACAATTTTCTTTCCCTTCTCTTCAGAAAAATGAATGGACAAATGATTTTTGTCAATAACTGATTTTTTTCCCCACAGTGTATCAAATCCAACCACATGTTTAAAGCTGTGTAAGTTGTGAAAATGAGCGTTATTTATAAGTAGTACTTAAGTTTTAAGGTAGTTTAGCATAATTTTACAGAAAAAAAGTATTATCATACAGTGTGAGTTTAATCTGGAATGTCTGACACTTTTGCAAGTTTGGAAATAATAGTAATAATCTGTTTTCAATTTGATTTAAAATTTCTGTTCGAACATGGAACCTAGTAATGTTGTTTTCTGGAGTTTCCACTTGGGTTTTGAGAATCATAAGCTGTTCGTGGTTGTATGCTTGTGACAAATCTGCAGCAGCAACAGACAGCCTCTAACTCCAATGGAGCGGGTTAGAGCCAAAAAACGCAACACAGGTACTACTGTAGGTGTGCACGTGCTGTGGACATTTTTACAGCTACTTGTTAAAAAAAATTAAGGGGGGGGGGAAGGTCTCTGTGAAAATAATATAGACAAGGAAGAAACTCCAGCACGTAAGTGGCGGAGGAGCGTGAATGGTCGGCAGTGTGCATCGACAGGCCCGTGACTGAGCGTGGCGTGCGCCGACGGGGCTGGTGTCAAACGGTGCGAGGTGTGCTGCGCCGGACCCCGCGGGCATGGAACATCATAGAGTTACATTCCAGTTTTATAACTTCACCGTGCCTTTCAAATATGCGTTACTTCTTAGGGCAACATCCTCACAGACGGGTGAAGACCGTAGGGCTTTCTCTTTTGCTGTAATTTTACATACAAAAGGAAAAGTGTTTGTTAAAAAGAAACTTTGTTGGCTTATGAGGGGGTGCATCTGCCCAAGGGTTTAGCCACCAACAATAAAACCCAAGTTGCGTGGGCATGGTACATTCTAGCAGGGTTTTGTATCCCTGTAACTCCTGGCCTGTCGGTAACAGCGTGACAGTTCTAGCTCACAGGAAGGCTTCCAATACCTGTAATAAAAGGTTTATGCAGAAACAAGACGAGGCTGAGCAATTCCTCTCAGCTGCTCCTACGTGTAGCCTCGCTCCCTCCTGATCCCTGGCTCTGGCTCACACAAAGGGAGCATCTGCGTTGTGACAGCGAGACACGAGCAGCAGGGAGCTGGCTGGCCAGGAGGGAGTGGCTGGGGCAGTGGCCACCCCTGGATTTCCCTCATTCCTTCCCACAGCCGACCGGTCCGCGCTGCGCTTCTCCGGCTCCTTAGCTGCTCACTCACCAAGTATAAAAGGAATGTCAGGAAATGTATATTTAACAGAAAATTAATCTTATCCTCTGTTCAAATAATAAAATAATCTTCCTTTGCTCTTCAGACTTCTAGCTAGCAGGCAACTGTTTGCTGAACGTTACCAGCATTAGGGCTTCCTTCCTTCCCACAGCCTTGTCGGCCCACCTGTCACTGCAGCGCCAGTTCTGCCGCGGGGCTGCTGGTTCTCACACAGGGACTGTACTCGCTCGGGGGTGCTGGGGCTCAAAAAGCTCTTTGTTGGCAATGAGGTGAAATGTTGTTTTGGCACGTGGCGTCGTCTTGCTTTGTAAGCGTTAAACAGGGTCTTGGGGAAAAAGCTTCTCTGTAGGGAACTCTGCGGGCCAGACTTAAAAAACGGAACATCACATTGCTCAGGCCATACCCCCGACCTACTCTAGCAGTATTGTAGCCATTTAACTTCAGTGGATCAAATACAAATCTTGGACTTTCAATCCATCACAGAAGAGATGCAACTCAGACATTATAGTTTAAGCATGCAACATGTCATAGGTAACAAAATTGGTTAGATAGCGGTGTATATTAAATAAATCTTTGTGATTAAGTAAAAAATAAATCACAAAAACAATTGCTGAGGAACATGTCTGCAGGCTCAGCTCTACATCTGTTTGTCTTTCCTTTTTATACAGCAGCAGCAGCCAAATTCACAATTGATAGATATTGCACCAGAAAGACATGTGCAGTGAGGAGGAATATAATCACATTAATGTTTATGATAAAAAACAGATATGACTTCCATGTGTTACATAAAGTGCCTTTAAGAGTCGGTGCAGTTAGAAACAAACCAAACCCCACTGTTATTTCCGTATCATTAGCAATTGCATACAAACAGGAGACAAAACAGATCTGTCTTCCGTAGTGCCAAATCACATAGTGCCAGGTTTCATCCCAAATGCCTCCGTTGCAAACACTAAAGGATAATAAAAGAATCACTGTACAAAGAGGATGACAGGGTTAAGCACATTCTCCTAAAATTATTAATGCCAACCCTACCCCAGAATGCTTGATAGTACATGTAAATATTACCAATAATGAGGCAATTCTGTTATTGAACATGAGATCTGGCATGCTATGTTACGATTCTCCCTTGACTTGTAGCTATTCTAATATTTATACAAAAATGCAACATCCAGTCCCTAGTTCTGGATACAGAAAAATATTTATGTGCTCCATGAAAAGAGTTGCTCTTCATACACTGCCCAGCTAGAGAGAATTTCTAACCTAGCTCTCTCCTGCTTTCTAAACGGTTTGGGAACACAAGGCTCAAAATGTGCTTTGAAAAAATGACACTGACATCAAGTCTGGTACGAAATTAAGAAAAATGCTCATTTTTGCAAGTATACAATATTTAATTGTAATGAAAGAAAATCTGAAAATGTCTAAATCAATGAAAAAGTAAACATGAGTTGTAATACTATACCTGTAAAATGATTAATTCCATTCATTGTCATTAGAAATTATGTAAAATATTTAAGGGCGTTGCCTACAGAGGCACAACATAAATAGACTAAGTCCTGCTG